GGGGTCATCATTGTCTTTATGCTACAGAGTGAGCCTTCGAGCTACAAAATGATTCATATTGCTGGTTAAACTACAACAGCTGCACTGATGCATCGGAGGGGGTAGCCTAGCTTAGCCTAGCTTAGCCTAGCTTAGCATTTTAGTGGCGTTAGACAAAGAAATCACTTTTGTATCTTTTTTTAAAAAACGTATCAAAATTCATTGTCTGCCCAATTACATTTAAAAACACCCTCCTCTCTCTGCCCTGTTTTCACATTGAAACACAAACCAACAAGCACTATGGGAATAATAATAATAATAAAAAGTGGTGTTAGCATTTATTTAAATTCACAGTAGCCTGGGTGCAGCACAAATGTTCTTTGGACTTCGGTTTGTTCACTTCACTGACACATCGCAGCTTTAGCTCCATGGAGAAATGACAATCATGAGAGGCCTATAGAAAAAATGAAGGGTGTGAGCACCTCATATTGGGGGGGAGGGGGGGGGACAAACAATGACTTTTATACAACATCTTTTATAGACGTGATATTGCAGAAATATCTCTATTTTTTTTTAAACAATTTATGCTGGTATTCTCACTGGCCCTTTATTCGATGAGATTATTGCATTGTAGGCTTGACAGACCCCTCCCATATAACGAAACCCCACTATAATATTCCTGCAGGAGGCTATAGAGACTGACATTCTGTAGGGACGGTTTTATCTGTAGTGGTGGGTGAGCAGTATACTGGTTTCTTTAAATATTTCCTGTAGTTTTGATGTGATATCTCTATAAAAATCTATCGTAGGATTACTATAGCGTCTGTTCGTCAGGAGGCTGCTCTGTGGTCCTGGTGCCAGTTTAGGGAACCCGACATGTTGAGACCCCAACGTTTAATGATATAAATGTATAGTAAGGGTCCCAAGAACATAGAAACTGCCGGATGCTAACCTGCATATGTTGAGCAATTTGCACAATTAGTTTACGTTGCGTTAATTAAAATTAATGACATTGTTGCGTATAAACAATAGTTTGAAAATGGCTTCGCCGATTTGGACACTTTGAGTGGTTTGGGGGGTTATTCAGGATATTGAATCCATCTCTGACATTTTCAGGATCCAAAATTGCAGTTTTAATCAGAAAGTGGCCATATTTGTAGGCTACTCTCTGTGGACTGCATTTGATATATTTAGAAATAAATAGGAAATCTGTCCAATCCAAATGATCAAGAGTCGACTAAATCTTCCAAATCGATCCAAAATTAATCAAAATCAGCCCACAGAGATTACAAATATTGCCATTTATGTCAGAAATTGACTCAATTACCCCCAAAAATCACTCCATAACTGTCCAAATCGGCCAAGCCTTTTTTTTGTACTATTGTGCACATAGGCTATAATCGTAATTCATGCTAATTAACACAATGTATGCTAATTGTGCAAATTGCCCAACATATGCAGGTTAGCTTCCGACTATGTGCTGGGGACCCCTTCTATACATCTTTAACATAAAACGTTGAGGTTCTCAACATTTCCGGGTTCACCAGAGGACTTTATGGGCTGGCAAACAGACCTCTGATCAGTCAGTCGCTGTCGGATTTCTCGTCCTTGGACGTGACGGTGGCGTGATTGTAAAGTCCCTGTGCCATCAGGTGCAAGGCCAGAGAGTTTTTAGCCCCGCTGGCCTTCTTGATTTTGGCCCTCTTGTTCTGGAACCAGATCTTGATTTGGGACTCGTTGAGGCCCAGCTCCTGCGCCAGGTGCTGCCGCCGCTGCTCCGTCAGATACCGGTTCGTCTGGAACTCGGTTTTTAGTCTTTGCAGCTGTTCTGCAGTGAAGGCCGTCCGTGGTCGTTTGTCCTCTTTGCTGCTGCTGCTGCTGCTGCTGCTGCTGGTTGGGGGGGTGGTGGGTGTGGTGGTGGTGGTCGATTTCTTCTTTGGTTTGCGAGATCTTGGCCCTGTAAGGTGCAGGGGACACAGTGGTTAGTCAGCATCAAAACATACAAGGCAGTTAAGTAATCATGCAAACGGCTCAAAAACAACTTTAGAAATTAATTTTAAATATAGTTTGCTCCATAAAATACTCAATCAACGTCTAACTAGTATCGTATTGAAACAGAGACTGCATATTGATGGTTTTTGGCACTGTACGGTGGGGAGGGGTTCCGCAGATCTTGGTTTGTCAGCATCAAAACATGGCAAGGATTACAAGGCAACAACGTGACCAAGCATACGGTTTGATATCAATTTTAGAAATGTATTTTAAATATAGTTTGCTCTTTAAAATACTCTATTCAAACAGAGACATCTTAAACTGGTGTTTTTTGGCACTGTAATGTGGGGAGGGGTCACTCAGATATTGTTTTGTCAGCATCAAAACATGGTCATGGTTACAAGGCCAAACGTAATGATGCATTCGGCTCAATAACAACTTTAGAAATTAATTTTAAAATTAGTTTTCTCAGTACTCAATCTACGTCTAAGTGGTATCGTGCTACTTTACATGTAAATGCGTCCAAAACTCGTGCGTAAAATGTATTTTAGAAGTAAACTGAATTTTAAAACCATCCAAATTGAGAAATAATTAAACCAATCCATACATCCAGGGTAATATGAATCCAGAATACGTGCGTAAAGTCTACTTAAGAAGATACATTAGATTTGAAAACGTATTTACCATACAAGTAAACCAATATGCATGAATCATTATTACGGTAATGTTCGTATTAATCTTAAACTGGTGCGTAATGTCTATTTAGAAGAAAATGTGACTTTCCAAAATAGATAAATATGTAAACCATTCTCAAAACACAAAGGGTAATGTGTATGTATTAAAAACAGGTGTTTTAAGTTTGTTTTAGAGGACAACATAGATTTTAAAACGTATTTAACGAACCAAAATAGAGAAGTAACTAAGTAAACCAATGTTCACGCATCCTCAAGTCATTCGGGGATTACGTGATTTTGTTTTAAACAATTCACAGAATAAGTTTGATTGATTCCCAAAAGCCTTTTTTTGGCACACTTTAATACGATTGTAAAATTATTGACACCACCAACACCCAGGAACCAAAACCTCCCCCCCTCCCTCCCTGTTCCTATCCTTCTTCCTCGCTTACACACACATATAGGCTACACACACACACACACACACACACACACACACACACACACACACACACTGTAGTAATAAGGAATTATGAACCAATAGGACGACAGTAGGAGAAACATCACTTTTACGCAGCAACAGCGCACAGGATACAGTTCGCTGCAGCTGCTTTGCATTTTTGTTTTTGTGGGCCACTTGAAAAGCTCCTCAATGGAGGAAACGTGAAGAGAATGTAGAGCAGCAACACATTACGATCATTTTCATTCTGCTTATAGAGGCCTTCGTGTTTGGTTCCCTCCTCCAATCAGCGAGGAAAACATACATGAAGCTATACAACACGCCGAACCTGATGAATCAGCTTGTGTGTGTGTGTGTGTGTGTGTGTGTGTGTGTGTGTTTGTTTTCCACGCAGCCCATATACAAGCTGAGCAGCTCTACAACTCGTAGTAGTCCTCTACGCTACTCCATACAGCGTTACATAATGCATGAGAACAAGTTGTACTCCACTTTTCATATGGACGCTCCAGAAAACACTCCTGATATTAAGTTTGCTGCAGGCTGACAACTTGTACCCTATATTTTCTTATAAACAAAACACAGGGAATAATAGGAGACACTTCTGGACAGTATACACACATAAGCTGTGGGAGCGTCCATTGTTGAAACATGCATTTTTAATTCACCCCAAACTCAACTTTCAGCAAAGAGCCAAAGTGCTAAAACAAGAATATAATTTTTTGCAAAATTGCAGTTCCTCTGGGAGACTTTCAGCATGCATCGAGCTATTTTTTTTGTATTTATACGACCCCGGTTTCATCATATTCAAACCCGAGGAAATAAACAACAACTTGTAACATTTAAAGAAAAATAAATCTGTGCGTAAATGCCAAACAGCTATTTTTAAAATGTATTTTTAATTACTTTGTGAGTAGTTTAAATACAAGTTACTTTTAAAATACATAATATTCCTTTCTAGTTTCAAACAGGCCTCATCTCACGGAAAATCCCGATTTATATTTATTTAGATTTATAAAATCACATTTTACAACCGCATACTCTTCGTGGACCAAATGTATTTGCGTTTTACATTTAAATGATATTTCTACAAAAATCCTACGCGCTTTTATGCTCAGTATATTCTCAGTTTTGCTCCGCTCTCTCTACACGCGTCGCTGCTCCACTCGG